ATCAAACGTATTTTGTCATATTATGTCGCATCATTCTCCGTGTCGCACATCTCATTTTACTTTCCCCTCCTTTACGTCTCAGCGTAATGTAAAGAGAATTGCCCCTGGAACACATTTATTGTTTGAGTCGTACACTACCGATGTTGGTTAATCTATGAAACCATAACACTAAAAATACTAAAATAGAATATCATTACTTCTAATTAAAAAAAGACTGATACTCTTAATACAACCTAGATCATATCAAGTTGGCAGATACGTATATCATAGATATAGTAAAAGAGGATTCTTATAAATTACGTGTCGTATAAGAAATTTAATTGTTAATTAAATTGATAATTATTTTTAGTCGACAGGCGGTAAAATTAGATTACAAGTGCTTAAGTATTGAACTATAAGCGCTAATAGTACAGAAGTTGTTTTCATCTACTGTGGAGTGTAACTGGAACGTATTATTTACAGCAGAAGATTGTTTGTTGTAAGGCCCCATCAAGAGTTGATAAGCACACCGAAGAAAATTTCGGAAGGGTGGACTACTAATTGACCAGACTTTTTTTTACTAGATTCTTTGTAACTTTAGCTCCATTTGCCCAAGATTCTGCCAATATCCAAAAAGCCACGATTCGATCCAAGCGTTGAAATGGGTACACCCGAATTAATGAAAATTTTAGAGGACCCAGTGCTTTTTCAAGAGAACCATGAAAAGATACGAAATGATATTTTGAGACACATCAAGTCTCAGGATGTCACGATTAAAACTTTAAATAATGAATTGGATACCTCTAAATCTGCTAATAAAGCATTTAAACAAGCTTTGTCTGAAATTGGTACTGTTGTGATTTCAGTTGCAATGGGGGACTTATCGAAGAAAGTTGAAATTCATACCGTTGAGTCTGACCCTGAAATTTTAAAGGTTAAGATTACAATTAATACCATGATGGACCAGTTACAAGCATTCGCAAATGAGGTGACGAAAGTTGCAACTGAAGTCGCTAATGGTGAACTAGGAGGCCAGGCGAAAAATGAAGGCAGTGTAGGAATTTGGAGATCTTTGACTGATAATGTTAATATTATGGCTCTCAATTTGACAAATCAGGTGAGAGAGATTGCAGATGTTACAAGGGCGGTTGCTAGGGGTGATTTATCAAGAAAAATTAATGTCCATGCTCAAGGGGAAATTCTTCAATTGCAAATGACCATTAATTCAATGGTGGATCAATTAAGGACATTTGCTTTCGAAGTGTCAAAAGTTGCTAGAGATGTCGGTGTTTTAGGAATTTTAGGAGGGCAGGCCCTTATTGAAGGTGTCGAAGGTATCTGGAAAGAATTGACTGATAATGTGAACGCTATGGCTCTTAATTTAACAACTCAAGTTAGAAATATTGCAAATGTCACTACTGCTGTTGCAAAGGGTGATTTATCAAAGAAAGTGACTGCTGATTGTAAAGGTGAAATTTTAGATTTGAAATTAACTATTAATCAAATGGTGGATCGATTACAGAATTTCGCTTTGGAAGTTACCACATTGTCTCGCGAAGTCGGTACTCTTGGTATTCTAGGTGGACAGGCTAATGTGCAAGATGTCGAAGGAGCATGGAAGGCTGTTACAGAGAACGTTAATCTTATGGCTACTAATTTAACAAACCAAGTTAGATCTATCGCTACTGTTACAACTGCAGTCGCACATGGAGACTTATCTCAAAAGATTGATGTTCATGCTCAAGGTGAAATATTGCAATTGAAGAATACCATTAATAAGATGGTGGATTCTTTGCAGCTTTTCGCTTCAGAAGTGTCAAAGGTGGCTAGAGATGTGGGTATTAATGGTAAGTTAGGTATTCAAGCTCAAGTTAGCGATGTCGATGGTTTATGGAAGGAAATTACCAGTAATGTAAATACTATGGCTTCTAATTTAACTTCTCAAGTGAGAGCGTTCGCTCAGATTACGGCGGCTGCTACCGATGGTGATTTCACAAGATTTATTACTGTTGAGGCAAGTGGTGAAATGGATGCCTTAAAAACCAAAATTAATCAAATGGTGTTGAATTTAAGAGAATCTATTCAAAGAAATACTGCTGCCAGGGAAGCTGCTGAATTAGCAAATAGTGCCAAATCGGAATTCTTGGCAAATATGTCCCACGAGATTAGAACACCTTTAAATGGTATTATCGGTATGACACAATTATCATTAGATACGGAGTTAACTCAGTATCAAAGAGAAATGTTATCTATTGTTCATAACTTAGCCAATTCATTGTTAACAATTATCGATGATATTTTAGATATTTCTAAGATTGAAGCTAATAGAATGACAGTGGAACAAATTGATTTTTCGTTAAGAGGTACTGTATTTGGTGCTTTAAAGACTTTAGCAGTTAAAGCAATAGAAAAGTCTTTGGACTTAACTTATCAGTGTGATTCTTCGTTCCCGGATAATTTAATTGGTGATTCGTTCAGGTTAAGGCAAGTAATCTTGAATTTAGCTGGTAATGCTATAAAGTTCACGAAAAAAGGTAGAGTTAGTGTAAGTGTTAAGAAATCAACCAAGATTATTGAAGACAGTGAAAGGTTATTACTAGAATTCTGTGTTAGTGATACTGGTATTGGTATTGAAAAGGATAAGCTAGGATTAATCTTTGACACTTTCTGTCAGGCCGATGGTTCAACTACAAGAAAATTCGGTGGTACCGGTTTAGGTTTATCAATTTCCAAGCAATTGATTCATTTAATGGGAGGTGAAATTTGGGTTACATCCGATTATGGTGAAGGTTCAAACTTTTATTTTACTGTTAGTGTCGCACCCTCCGCTATAAGGTATACCCGTCAAACTGAACAATTATTACCATTTAGCGCCCATTATATTTTATTTATATCTACTGAACATACAACGGATGAATTAGATGACATCAAAAATGGTGCACTTGAATTGGGTTTGAATCCAGTGATTGTGGATAATATCAAAGATGCTAACTTAACTGAACCTGTTAAATATGATATAATTATGATTGATTCAATTGAAACAGCCAAGAATTTGCGTTTATTGCCAGAAGTGAAGTATATTCCATTAGTATTATTGCATCATTCTATTCCAGAGTTGAATATGAGAGTATGTATCGATTTAGGTATATCTTCGTATGGTAATACGCCTTGTACAATAAGTGATTTGGCTAGTGCATTAATCCCAGCATTAGAATCAAGATCGATCGCTCAGAATACTGATGAATCAGCTTCCTACAATATACTATTGGCTGAAGATAATTTGGTTAATCAAAAATTAGCTGTTAAGATTTTGGAAAAACAAGGACATCATGTTGAAGTTGTCGAAAACGGTTTAGAAGCTTTTGAAGCAATTCAAAAGACGAAATACGATGTTGTCTTGATGGATGTACAGATGCCGGTAATGGGAGGTTTTGAAGCAACGGAAAAGATTAGACAATGGGAAAAGAAAACCAATCCAATTGATTCTTTGAGTTTCAGAACCCCCATAATCGCATTGACAGCACATGCAATGTTGGGTGATAGAGAAAAATCATTGGCCAAAGGCATGGATGATTATGTTTCAAAGCCATTAAAACCAAGATTATTGATGCAAACAATTAGTAAATGTATTCATAATATCAGGCAATTGAAAGAGTTGTCAAAACAAAATAATAGTAATAGAACATCAGAATTTGCCAAAAATTTGAAAAAGTCTTCAATAGAAGGTTCTGAAATCCCAAACTCGAATTTGCTTAATATAGGCTCTAGTCCTAATAGCAGTAGTAACTACAACGGCCTGTCTACTTCTCCAGCGTCTGATTGTGCTACTTTTGCAAGTCCTAAGATGAAAAAATCCATTTCAAATGATGTCATGGTAAATGGTAGACCAGGGAAATTGTCAATGAATAATAGGTCTGTTACTGAAAGCTCTATTTTGCTCAAACCTGAGTCTCCTAACTCTGACTCGATCGATTTAGATAATTCTTCTTCAAGGATTGAATATCTTGATTAGTATCTAGTGCATATTTCTGTTTTCATATTGCTACATTGCATGGGAATTTCTAACTAACTCAACTTCCTTCATTGTACTTAATTTTATTATATTTGACTTAATAACTTAGTCAAGCTTATTGTATTACATACGATTTTATTTAAATATTATTTTATTAAACGGATTATTATTAATTTTTATACACTGTAGACACATACGTCAAGTAGTTCTACCAAACGGTTTCATCCCATTTTAAAAGCTCTTGAGATTGTTGAAAAACATCTTTCTGTGCTTTTTTTCTCATATAGAAGATAGGACAGTCCTTGTTAGAACATAAAACTTCCTGGTGCAAAGATCCTTGACATCTTTGGCATTCAGTCCATAATCTTGAAAATTTATTTTCCAAATAGTTCATTTGTGCTAGGGCATTACCGTATAATTCAGGCGCCTTGGAAACACAATTTTCACATAATGCACCATGATTTGATGACTTTAATGGTGATTTGCAATTCTTACAGAGTTCTGCCTTTTTGGCAAATCTCATTAACCCACCTGTCTTTGGTGCAGACATCTTTATTGTTCTTGTATGAGCTCCCGATAAAACTTCTTTCGCTTTCCTTTCACCCAAAATTGGTTCAAAAATTCTCATTAAGGGGTTAGACAATTGATTCTCTAAGTAATATTTGACATCAATTGGCAAGGAGTTCTCCAAAACATACAATGGGTCTTCAGATTTTTCATAGTTTTTGGTGCTAGACGAATTGATAATAACATATGCAACTCTATCACCTAACGTTGGAGCGGAACCTGGATCTCTCTTCTTCATTCTTTCTGCCAATTCAACGTGTGCTTGCTTAGCTGAATAATCGTGCTTTGAATATGCCTTAGTAATAACCAATTGCGACAAATCGACTCTATTTTGTAACAAATCTGCAATTGTTTGTTTAACGAATCTTACAGCTTTGTCAACATTTCTTTCTTGCAATATAAATTCTAGCACCTTAGTGATAACATTTTGAACTAAACGACAGTTATCTCTCCTGACCGTTTCTATCCCTTTGGTATCCATCTTATCATATTTTTCGGTATTTGTCCAATATAATCCCGCATATCTCTTCTTGTTGATCAATAAATACGGGAAATAGACTTTCTCGAATTCTAATTTAATGGGATTTTTAAATTTTGTGGAAACAAAATTAGCAGCCTCCTCTCCTAATTGCATGCATTTTTCTAAATCTTCATATCCAAACTTGACCATAACAGAATCGGTATCACCATAAATAACTTGCGCATCAAATGGATGACCGTTTTTGATGGAATAGAATTCTTGAACTTCATTTTTAGTCTTTTCAATCATCTCTCTACCAAATGCAGTAACAGATGAAGAAATTGCAAGACACGGCAACTTACCAATTGTTGCACCAGTGAACCCATAAACTGAATTAGCCGAAATTTTTAAAGCTAATTGTCTACCATTTAAGACGTCTCTCTTAAATGGATCAGTCTCTTTCTTCAAGTCTGCCTTTGCTTTCTTTCTTGCTGTCAATAACTCATCCAAAATCGTAGGTAAAATACCTTTTCTTTTATTATCTTTAACGAAATAGTCACCATTTGGAGTCAATGTATAATCATCTTCAGTCAAATTGAAATTTTTAATAGTCTGCTTGTTCAATAATGTTGTATAACACAAATTATGTGCCATCATAATAGACGGATACAAGGAACTGAAATCCAATGTTGCGATAGGAACATCATAGTAGCCCCTAATAGGTTCAATAACAGTTGCACCTTCATATTCCTCATTAGATCCCTCGCTTTTCATATTAGGAATCACAATATCATCTTCTAAACACTTTCTGAACAATTGAGATATAACTTTGATTTGCTGACCTCTTGCTAACAAATAAGAAAATGGAACACCAGTAACTCTCGCCATTTCGGTATAATTAACAAGACACATCAATTTATCTAGCAACCTCAATGGCAAATAAGAATCTTTCAAACAATAGACTGCTAAACGCCTTCTTGTTTCCTTAGTACCATTTTGTAAATCTGATATAATTGAATGATGGACATCCTCCTTTTGCTCTCCTAAAAAGTGAGCGGAAACAGAATTCAATGTATAGGATCTTAATTTATATTCTCTTTGAATAAATTGCAATAAATCGAGTTGCATTCTTCCGTCTATATTCACAACTTTATTTTCCCTTGTACCATAAGCACGGGAACTGAATACAGCATCCTTAACTTCTTGCTTAACACTGCTAAGTCTACTGAAATATGGAAAGTTTTTCAATCCTAAGGCTCGCGCTCTATCCAATAAATATGGTATATCGAAATTTGCAGTATTATAACCAATTATGACATCAGCATCCACTTTGACAATAAATTCCCTCCAATGCATCAACATCTCTTCTTCTGTCTTATGCTCAAATATTTGAGAGCCAATAATTGAAGAGCAGGTGTCCACGGTAAACACATTTCTTACGAATGGTCTCAGTTCACCAGCCTTCAGTACAACATTAGCTATCTGAATTACAGGGTCGTGCTCTGCTTCTGGAAATACACCTTTTCTACCAGCACATTCAATATCAAAAGACAATATACGAAGTGGGGCCATATTTAACCAGTCACCTTCAGATGGATGTGAAATTAAATCCCTATAATCTATAGAACATTCAATTTGACATGTCGATATTTGAAGAAAAGAATCTACCAACTCGTATTTCCCCTTCGGTAAAGTAATCCACGACATACCTGTGATTTTACAATCTACCATTAGTCTTAATAAGTAATTAATATTGTCATACGAAACATTCTGTGGTGGGAATAAATTCTCATACCTAATTTCGCCTCTCTCAAAAGCAGTTCTGATTTTACTAATATTCTTTGAATTGTTGACAATTACTTTGAAGAATGGCGTTTTAAGATTCTTATTATAGCCCCATATAGATTCTTTCAATTTTATTTCAATATTATCTATGCCTTGGTAATTGTTATTCATATAATTAATAAACGCTGACAAATGCTGATCTTTAAAAAATCCCTTAGGAACTGGGACATAGAAATAATGCAAAAACCCTGTAACATTACACAACACTGAATGGCCCTCTTTGGTAACTCCAAAAAATCTTGCTGAAGAATTATCTCCTACTGTGGTTTCCTCAGCGTCTAATTGTTGAAATGTAACGTCCATAGTAGTAGAATCAAATGTTTCGGGAAGTGGCGGTCTATCCCACTTCTGATCTTCTTCATTCCCTAGTTTACCAACGTTCTGTGTCATATCTAAAAGCTCTCTCTCAAATTCAGTTGGCTCTTCTGTACCTGTGGGCCTCTTCACTTTCTTTAGTAATTGTTCTTGAGACTCTGAAAGTTCTATCTGAGAGCTGATCATACTCTGAGATATGGCAGGAAGTGAATGTGCTTGATCATGGTAATCTGTTTCAAGTGGTCTTTTTTCTGGTTGTGACATTGACAATGCTATGGTACATATAAGAAGAATTAACTTGTTAAATGTTAGTAGATTTTTTTACGATCTGTGACGCGTCAATAATTTATTTCTACTATTATCACCAAAAAAATCTGGCCAATTACTCAAAACTTATTTCATATACTATTTATCTATATTCAATGATAGGCTTATAAAGTGGGATGATCTCTACTTGTCGTTTTTATACTATTTGCTTCTATATATATTCTATACTAGCTAAATTATGAAAACTGTAAATTATTCTAAGCTTTAGGTCTAAAAACCACTCACTTTATGGTAATAAAATGATTGTGATGAATGCTGCGTTAATCGTAAGCTTCGTAAGATTACTAGATTAGTTCTAAATCACATTTTGTATTTCCTACATTATATTTTTATCTCAATTTGATATTATAAATGAAGGCAATAACTAAAGATAGTAAGAAAATAACTATGATAGATAAACCCTAAAGAATTAGCTCTAGAACTACAAAATAAGGTTTCAATTAAAACTAAAAGGGGAACTAAAGCTAGAGGAGTTCCACTGTTCGTCTTCTTTTTTATAAATTAAAATAAAATAGCAATTTAAAATTGTAGATAGTAAAAACTACTAAGAGTCTGTCTCGATAGGAGTCAAACCCCAATAGTCACTTTAGAGGAGTGAAGTTAAAATTTAGATGATCTATTAAAAGCCGAATCCCTAAAAAATCGGAAATTTATGTAAAATGTGTAAAAATATTTAAAAATAAGATATGTATTATCAAACAAATAAGTCAAAATATTTTAGGAATATGATAAGCGACTAGAAATGGGACCATATATGGCTATTCGTATTAGTAAAAGCCTATTCCATCTTATAGTAGTAATAGTCTTTAGTTCATAAATCCATTTGCTGCAATTTTTTTCGTTAGCGGCTTCCTAATTAGGCAAGTGAGATAGCCAGGAGATAACGGTTTTTGACAGACCTTATCAGTTGAAATTTTATTTACGATGCTATTAAACTATAAAAGAGTCACAGTTCAAAAATGTAAGTTTTATGTCCAGTATGAACAGCAAGGATAGTATACGAAATGAATACTACAAAATCTCATATTCATTCAGTTACTTCTCATGGTCTTCAGGGCATTAGATCTAGAGCTGGAGAGCATCTAAATCAAATTGTTTCCAATAGATCAGAAATTCGTGTTATCAATCAAGATGAAGTAGTCGATGAAGGTGACCTTTTGGCACAAATAGGTTATAAGCAAGAATTGAATAGATCATACAATTCTTTGCAAGTTTTTGGAATCGCATTTTCAATAATGGGATTATTGCCTTCTATTGCATCTACGTTAGCTACCGGGTTGGAGGTGGGTCCAGTTGGTTTAACATGGGGTTGGTTGATCAGCGGATTATTCATTTTATGTATCGGTGCTCTGATGTCAATCTTAAGTTCTCTGATTCCAACTTCTGGTGGATTGTATTATTGGACGAATTACTATGCACCAGATCTGATCAGAACCCCACTAAGTTTCATGATCGGATGCTCAAATTCTTTGGCGTTATGCGGAGGAATATGTCTGATTAACTACGGGTTTGCAATAGAGTTACTTTCTGCTATTTATATAAATAAGGACGGCAATTTTGATATTACGAATGCAAGAGTATATGGAGTCTTTGCAGCGTGCGTTGTGTCGCACATTATACTTTGTTGTGCCACTACGAAACATACTGCTACATTGCAGACATTTTCCATTTTTATAAACGTTTTCATTATCGTTTTATTTTTTATTGCAGTCCCTGTTGGTGTATCAAAGAATTACGAGTTCAATAGTGCTAAATTTATTTTTACAGAAATTAAGAACTTTAGAACCTGGGATCAAGGTTGGTCGTTTATGCTTTCGTGGATGCCAGCTATTTGGTAAGTATATTTATTATCTTCTTTTTTTTGTTTCATCGAATATTTAAATACTAACGCATTTAGGACTATTGGTGCTTATGATTCGTGCTTGCATTTATCTGAAGAAGCACTTAATCCAAGAAAATCAGTACCAATAGGTATTTTAAGTTCAATTTTTGTTTGTTGGATAGTTGGTTGGGTAATTTGTATTGTTGCTTGCGTTGCAATTAAAGATGGAGATGTGGGAGCTGTTTTAGAAAGTTCAACTGGCCTGGCAATGGCTCAAATCATTTATGATGCATTAGGAAAGAGCTGGGCTGTTGCATTTATGTCTTTAATTGCCTTTGCACAATATCTCATGGGTGCTTCTATTTTAATAGCTGCATCGAGACAAGTATGGGCTTTTGCAAGGGACGATGGATTGCCATTTTTCCATAACATTGTTAAGGTTATAAATCCAAGAATAAAAGTTCCGGTCAGGGCTACTATTTTCAGTGGATGCTTATCATTGATTTTAGGTTTACTTATTTTAATTGATACCACGGCTGCAAATGCGCTTTTCTCTTTAGCTGTTGCTGGTAATTATTTAGCTTGGGGAATGCCTGTTTTATTGGTGTTATTACCAGTAGGTCGCTCGAGATTTAAGCCAGGTCCATTCTATTTGGGTTCTTTTTGGACCGAGATAATCCACATTACGACTGTTGTTTGGGTTGTATACGTTATAATAATGTGCATGTTCCCAGATAATATGTCAGTTTCAAGTTCAACAATGAATTATACTTGTGTTATTAATGTTGGAAATTGGCTTCTTTCTCTAGTATATTATTTTGTTCACGGCTATAAGAAGTTCTCGGGACCCAAATCAAATCTTGATGAAGATGAAAATTCATTCGCTGAAGTTTCAGTAATTCAAAACATGGATGAAGTTCTTAATAAAAAAGCTTGATTTTATCATTAATTAATTGCTTATTTAAATAATTGTATATATAGACTTAGTACCTGGAAATCGAATTAATATTATGCTATTACAAATATAAAAAACCATTTCGAGAATTTTATAAACTAGAGGTCAAAAGCTTCTAACTCATCTATCAATTTATCCTTAAATATTCTTAATGATTTGAGAAACGTAGATTGGTCTTTGATACCACAAAATTCCTTGATATGATTGAAACTATTCAACAAGCTTTCATGTCTTCCGATTTTGCTTTTCAAATTTTCGATTTCTACGGATGAGTTAGTATTTTCACCACTAAATAAATAATCATTATTAGATATCTCATCTGAATTGTTAAATATACTAGAATAATGATAATCCATCAGTATATCAAATTTGTTTTCGGCTGCAATATTGCTGCGAATGGGAGGTTCAGTATCCTTTATATGCTTAATCCAATATTGCTTGTCATCAATAGTATCAATAGCTTCAAGTAAGACCATGAATATTGATAAATTAATAAATAGCTTAGTATCTTCATTTCCTCCGTTAGTCTTTTGGTATAAAGTTATTTCTTCAACAATATATCTCATTAATTCATGGTGCTTATCTATAGAAGGAAATAGATTTATAAATTGATAATCGTATGAATTCGTGTTATTGACTAAAGCAATCGCCTTGGTTTTGAGTTGTTCACATAAATTCGCTTTCTCGTTGAACTTCAAATTCAAATCACCCTCTAAATACGTTTGATCAACGCTATTGGATACCTTTTCAATTATATCTTTAATCAAAATTGAATTCTCCCAGTTTGTCAACTTCTTTAACGTTGATATTATTGAATTACCACTTATCTTCAATACTATTTGGAAAAATAGCTTCGATTCACTAGCCGCTTCATCATTTTCACCCAAATTGGATTTTATCAACTCATGCAACACTTGAACAGGCAAACAGTCTAAAGTAGGATCATCTGACCAAATTCTCCTCAATAGCCATTTAATTATATTTAAAGTGCATGGGATCAAGAACATCTGCGATAAGTAATCAATTCCATTATTTAATATCTTAATGTCAATTTTATTAGAATTAGTAGCAATGATGGATTGTTGATATATGATAGGAATCATTTTATAAATGTGTTTAACATTGACCGATTTTATTAAGTCATCAGAAAGGCCTTCATTATTATCATCAAACAACGCATTAATCCAATCGCTTATCAAACCATTGTAATTTGAAATGATTGTATTGTCTTCTTCCGTATCGGAACTAGATGCATTTGTTAAATTATCACATAATCTGTAGTAAAACTCATTTATGTAATCAATGATATAAGAACTGGTAACTGTAATTTGAGAATAATCAATTTTGAAGGTTTCAATAATTAGGAGTATTGCAAGAATAATAATACCGAAAAAAGCATACATCTCTTGAAAATTATCATCATCATCAACGTTAAAATCCTCACTGTCAATATAGTTAATCAACGTGTATAATATAGAAAAAGGTCCATTATTTGAATTAAAACAGATTAGATTCAAAGTTCTAAGGTTATTGCAAATAGATAACAACAATCTATATAGCTTCTCAATATTTTTTTCAGCAATCAAA